CGAGCAAAGAAGCAGTTCAGTTCCTCTGCTAGCGACACGCTTGAGTCCCCAGTTGCCGTGTCACACCCCCTGTAGTTGGTAATGTTCTTAATGCCCTGCCACACCTGCCTAGGGTTGTTGCTCGTGAGGTGGTCCTCAATCCTTGTTTTATAGTCTGTCTTGGCTTTTGTGATTCCTCTCCTCAGGTCGGCTCAAGCATCACTGTAGAGAGCTCTGTCCCCTGACCTGAAGGCTGAGTCACGGGCCTTGAGCAGCATGTGGACCAGATGGCCAGTCCTCCAGGGTTTCTGGTTTGGGAAAACCCTGATGCTTTTTACCATAGTGACGTTGCCGATACAGTATTTAATGTAGGACAGTACCGTCTCTGTGTAGGCTGCCAGGTCCTGGTGTTGGTGATCAAATACATCCTACTGGGTGTGTTCAAAGCAGTCCTGAAGCTGAGCAAGTGCATCCTCAGGCCAGGTTCGAGGGCCGCGGGTTGGAGACCCCTGGGCTAAGCTAACGCAATATATGCTCCGACCGTCCACACTCACAACAACGGCCTATACAGACATAAATAAACCAGCGACTGTATTCACCATGACACAGACAGTCTGTGGTTTGTACTTGTTTAACTTTTGTCTAGTTTCTGAACAGATATGAGGAGCTGTGAGCTCTGAGGGTAACGGCTGATGTCGTTTTTCTGAAGATGACGTCACGGCTCCGCCTACACTGCGTTACTATACATGTAGATACTACCCCAGTTCCTAAACTGTAATGGAAGCGCAGCATTAAAGTGAGCCGGGCCTAACAAGGCCTAACAAACCCGTACTAAGTCGAGCGAGGCCTGCGGTGGAAATGCGCCATTACAAGCAACGTTGCTTTTGAAAGCTTTTGGGGAAACCCAAGTGGATCTACTGCAAAAGGAAAACAAAGGGAAACAAGCTCCACAATGGTTTTTGCCAGAAATATGACTGGACAGACTGGACTCTTAGTGTTAGCCTGTGTAACCAGTCTGATATATGTGAAAACTGGACCAGTATTCCAGGTTCTTAAAGGATGGGTCATAAATGAGGAATAGGAATAAACAACAGTCTGCCGGCAGTAAATATTTCAAATAGTTTTTAAAGCGCTTTACACTCGAGTGCACCCCAAAAAAAAAAAAAAGTTCTTTGTTCGGTTCCTTTAAAGTCCTCTCAAAATCCTACCACTGGTAGTGAGTAGTTCAGGTTATCAATAGTAGCTCGCCATCACGGAATCCAGAATCCAGGATATTCTGATCTAAGGGTATCATAAAAACCCAGCCTTTGTAACACAACACAGCTTAAAATATTGCAAATGGTAAATGGAATGTACTTATATAGCGCTTTATCCAGTCTTTAAGAACCCTCAAAGCGCTTTACATACCGTCGTTCACCCATTCACACCCATTCATACAGAGCAGTGTATGTTACTCTAGGAACTAACATGCATACACATTCACACAGCGTTGGCCATGCCATCGGGAGCAACTCAGGGTTAAGTATCTTTCCCAAGGATCCATCGACATGTTGACTGCATGGGCTGGGATCGAACCCACAACCTTCGGGTTGAAAGACGACCGCACTCCCTCGCAGCCACAGTCGCCCCAAATGCATCTAAAACAACACATTTAAATGGTTGAACCATAATATGGAAACTGTTGCATTGTAAATAAAAGATTCATTTTAAATGCACTACTATTAAACATTAATGCTCAAAGCATTTTAGTAAACAAAATAACTGAAATTATCTGAGATAATCAGAGTAATTGAACACTTCTTGAGGAAAGAAAAGAGGATAGATTGTTTGTACAAATAATCACTTTTGGTGAGTATAGGCTATAATGAATGGCTTTTATTTAAATGTTTGGATATTTATTTTCCATTTGATCATTTTACGAAGTAAATATTGATGCTTCTGCTAGAGATTATGTATGTGGCTGCAACGAAAGGAGACTTGTTGATTTGTATTATTTGGGTTTCTTGCTTTATTAATTGATTTTCGCTACATCAGATACCTGTCTCTGATGAAACGCCTTGTTATTCTGCGTTTCTGTACAATATTAATGGTTTCTATAGCTGTGACATCATAATGATGGTATTAAGAGGTGGATTAATTCAGGTAGGAAACTCCTGAAGGCCAAGTAGAATTGCCTGGCCCGTTACTGACAAACACATATTACTATTGCTCTGTACTGCTTTTTTCAAAACTTAAAGATGAAAGAAAATGGTTGAAGACAAGATAATCACTGCTAATTGTTGAGTTTACATCTGAACCACTGCTACGCAGTTCTTTGTGCGAGGAAGTTAACTTACCCTGTTGTTTCCTCTCCAGCTCTCACTGAGTCTTCCTATTGGTGAAGTACTCTCTGTGTTGTCGTGATCACTCCCCTGGCCCCCAGCATCCACTGTCATCATGGGAGGGGTAGTCCAAATGCACTTCACCACAGTGGACTACGTCATCTTTGCCCTACTTTTAGTAGCCTCAACTGGCATTGGACTCTTCCATGCTTTCTCCGGTGGACACCAACGCACAACGCAGGTAGACTTCAAACATACTTCCCTTACTTTGATTCTTAACCAAATAAGATGACAGTCAATTTTAAGCTTTTAGGGGCACACTATGTGTTTGTATTTGATAGTCTTGACACTAATATTCTGTCTGTTTCTAGGAGTTCCTGATGGCTGATCGCTCCATGAGCTGCCTGCCTGTGTCTTTGTCCCTGCTGGCCACTTTCCAGTCGGCTGTGGCCATCCTTGGTGCTCCATCTGAGGTGTACACCTTTGGGACTCAGTACTGGTTCCTAGGCTGCTCCTACTTCTTAGGCCTGCTCATCCCGGCTCATGTTTTCATACCAGTTTTCTATAGACTTCGTCTGTCCAGCGCTTATGAGGTACACACAACATGCACATTTTTCGGAATGATTGTCTGCAGTTTTTCAGTTTTTAAGATATCAGAGCTTAAAATGTGTATCAGTTCTCTTATCTCTGCTTGTCATTGAAGTTCAACAGAAAAACGCATGTTCTTGTCTCAACACTGAACATCTTTAAAAGGTTAGGGTTATCTCATTCCGGTCTGGCTGTTTCTCTCATGAACCTCAAGTACACAAATGAGAATTGACCTGATAACAGTACTGCACTGATGTCATGTGAACAAAAAGTTTGAATCTGAGATAAAATCTGGTTTGGAAAAATCTGGCTTTGAAAAATCTGGCTTTGATATTAAGGCTCTATATTTGCAGCTCTGATCCTGACAAACATAAACAATCCGAACATACAGTATGTCACAAAATGACTCTGAATTCATTTTTTAATTAGCCGTTTGTTTATGTTTTTTCCCTTTGACATTGTCTCCCCTCGACAGTATCTGGAGCTGCGCTTTAACAAGACGGTTCGCATATGTGGGACTGTGACCTTCATCTTTCAGATGGTATCCTTTTTTGGCTCATACTTCCTTTGTAAATTCGTTTTCTGGGGATTTATGCCAACCCCTTGCAGGAACAAGGGAACTTATTGATGCTACTTCTGATAAAATGATCACCACCTTGGGCGTTATGTCAGCTAAATGGAAGTTTTTTAGTAATGACAATAATTATTTGACGCAGAAAAATTAACTGTATTCCAAGTTCCCATTTAATAAAGCAAGCAGACCACTAAATTAAGCCGTTGAGATGGTAAAACATTGATTAAGAAAGGCAAAAACAGCAATAAAAAAGTTTATCTAAAAAATGCCACTTTGAGAATTGTACAGTGCATTCAATTGCTTATTATATTATAGCCTAGCTGAAACCTTAGCCCAAATGGACCCTCAAATGTGTTAGGTGATTTGTATTCAGTAATTTCAGGAACTCATGACATTTCATTAATAGTGTGAATTGTTATTATCAATGCCAATCAACACAATGATTAATTACCCAAAATAAATACAGAAATGTGTTGAAATTTTTTTTGATAGTGAATTACTTAAAGGTAGGGTATGTAAGTTTGAGAAACCGGCTCGAGATTGCTAGAATTTGAAAATACACGACCGGAGAAAATCTGCCACTTCCTTATAGAGCCCCTCCTCCAACACACACAAACGCGCACATGACCAATGAGGGCACGAGATAAGTTTGTGCACAGATGGAAGGCTGACAGGCAGGTAGGCCATCAAGTTATTTTAGCCGGGCCGGCTAAAATGATTGGTCATACTTTTTACAGTACTACGGCTTCCACAGATGACATTTTGTATGGATTTTTTGTCAAAGCACTTAAGATATTCATTGCTATCGGGATGTTAAGAGCATTCCATGGAGTATAACAAAAAGTGTAGCTCGAGCCGGTTTCTCAAACTTACATACCCTACCTTTAAAGGCTATTTTTCCTTGTTTACTAGCAAATGAAGCGTAGTTGTTGGCAATGAACATTCTGAGTCTCAGGCTCCCCAACAATGCAACATGCCATATTCCAAAAATGGATTAAGATCGCTATTTATCTTAATCTATTTCCTCAGTGTCAGAACTTTTTAAATATTGACAGGTATAATCTGATATGTGTATCGTGACCTCATGAGTTCAGCGTTTTTTTGTGACTTTCCCTGTTCTGTAATGTTTATATTTTCTTCTTCTGCAGGTCATTTATATGGGGGTTGTACTGTATGCCCCGGCATTGGCACTCAATGCAGGTAGGACTAGCATTTTCTTTAAATATTTGACCACAACATTATCAAATCATTTTTACATCAATAGGTGCCAACGGTTACTGATGGATGGTATTGAATGCAGTAAGAGTTGTAGTTCAGTAACGTGTGTGCCGGTTTTGGTAATACTCTGTCTGATCACTTGCAGTGACAGGCATTGACCTATGGGGGGCAGTACTGGCCATGGGCTTGGTGTGCACTCTTTATACTGCTCTGGTGAGTACCTTAATCTTACCTCATCCCGGTGATAATTTCATCATTGATTATTGAGACAAAATATTGGTCAAAAACAAAGAAAAGCTCAATTTATTGAAACAAGAACATATATATATTGTGTACATCTAATAATCCAATCCAATCCAATAATGTAGAGGATGAAGGAGGTTCTTGTCAATAACTTATTTTTGCTTTAATTACTTTATTATTTTTTCTTTTATTGTCTCCGGTTATTTGAACATAGATATCATTCATTCCTAGCAATGTACACTTTAGCAGATTATTCCTAATGATGATCATTTTGATATATTAAGTGGATCCACTGCTTCTTTGTCCCAGGGCGGTCTGAAGGCTGTAATCTGGACCGATGTGTTCCAGACAGTGGTCATGTTTGCAGGCCAGCTTGCGGTCATCGTTGTGGGGGCCAATCAGGCGGGGGGCATAGCAGAGGTGTGGAGGAAAGCGACCAATGGCAGTCGCATTGCTGGTCTGGAGTGAGTAGTCTGTGTCCTCCTTCCTTTTACATAGTCACAGTGTATTAAAGGACCCCTTATTATGCAAAATGCACTTTTTGATGTATTTTATACATACATATTTGTCCCCGGTGTGTAAGGAGACTCACAACGTGTCAGAAAATACAACCCTCTCTTTCCTCCTTACCCACATCTCTAAAAACGGGGACAACGGAGCTGTAGATTTGCTGCGGTCATGACGACGTTACTAAAATGTGTGCTGGCTTTACACCTACGGCCCTATCAGAAACATTGCTGTAACAGAAACAATGTGTGACGTTTTGGAAGTAATATGGTCTGTGTTTACATTAGCAAGCATCGCTAAAACCCAGAGCTAACCTGTACTGGAGAGAGTATTTGTAAAAAAGCAGGATATAAAATGGAACTCACCTCAAGAGAAAAAGCATTTGAGCTCCAAATTGTTTCAGAAATAATCCTTGATGCTGTTTGAGACCTATAATATATGCCTACAAATAGTATAATAGGAGAGCTTTAAACCTAAAGCAAGCTTTATTTTACTAAAACTGATCAGAGAAAACGCAAACGTTTTTTTTTTTAAACAGGAGGACCAGGCATGGTAAAAAAATATTAAAAGGAAAACAAAACAAGCAAATAAAACGGAATAACTTGTTTAAAATGGGTAGCAGACTAGGAAAAATGTTGGACAGGCTAAACCACGAGGGCAGCAGGTTAGGCACACAGGTGGATAGGATCAGGGCGGGCAGACAAACAGTCAAGTGGGAAAAAACTCAGGAAGTAAGGTAAAACCCAAGAAAAAAATACATTTCAAAACAAAACAGGAAACGTGAAACACAAAAACCAAGATTTGGACAAAAATACTCATAGACGTTTTTTTTTATTAATAAGGAGATCCTACTCACAAAAACAGAACAATTTTAAGATGTACAATAATGGTTTATTTAATCATAATTCTCATCATAGTGCATTGTTTAAAGGTCACCTATTATGCAAAATCTACTTTTGCATGTCTTTTATACATAAACATGTGTCCCATCTGTGTAAAGAGATTCTGAAAGTTTTAGGAAAAACCATTCACTCTCTTTTTGTCCTGATCCATTTATATAAAAACCTGTCTGAAAATGAGCTGATCAGATTTTGGCCACTTTATGATGTCATAACGATTTTTTGGCTTGTGTAACCATTAGCCAATAACCAACCAAGGTAACACCCGTCCTTGGGGTAAACCCGCAGAGAGAAAGTGTTTGAGCTCCATACTGTTTCAGAAATAATCCTTGATGTGGTTTTGAACATGATATGGCGTTTAACCTGAGAGACCCCGGTGCCGGGGCACTGCCGCAACCTCTTGCAGGAAACAGTGTCTGAGGGCATGTTCATTTAATAAACTATGAATGTTTTGTATCCATGTAACGGGAAGAAACTCATCTAACTGATCAATATTTTTTTTTTTCTCAAAATAAAACCCCACAATGAGCTTCTGAATTAGCAACGAGCGAAAAATGCTAACAGATGACTGCACAGAAATTCACTCACAAAACCTTATTATTTATCTTTGCTGCACATGTCAACCCATCGTTTCACATTGTGAGGGGACACAGAATCAAGGGGTACCCTTCATTATCGCTCAATTATACGAAATCGCGAATTTATAAACAAAAATAGACATCAAAACATGTGGCGCTAGGTAGCTAAAAATGCTAACATGGCTCACCTGTGTCGTAGTCTGGTCAAACGTGGTCTTCAATGGCATTAAAACGATAAAAACGCTACTGAAGTTAATCCATAGGTTAATCCAATGTGTCTGTGTCCCTTTGAAATGATTTCTGATAATCCATAAACAACAAACCTGCTTTTCCGTTTCCAGATGTCAGAGCTAGAGACAGCTTCACTCTCATGCAAAACTGCGTGCGCGAAGCCCACACCTTTTTGTTTTACCATGTGTGTGAGTGGGGAGATTCCCCTTCGATTCTATTGGCTCTAACGGTCAGAAAGAGATGTCAATCACCAAAATCGACCAATGAGTTCCAGAGAAACGGTAAAACCCCCATTTCCACCCAAATCACCTCAGAGGTGGAGTTTTTTTTGCTAAACCTCTCTAAAAAGGTCAAATGTCACTTGTTTTGCATCAATCTTGATACAGGGTACTTATTATATGTTGTACTTTGGATTCCTAAAGCTTTTAGTCTACCTTACCATCATCCATGGGTAGTTTTCACTGTAAGTAAAAAAAATGTTTTGGACGGACACTATGATTTACAGTTTTTTACTGCGTTGGACGCAGGGGTACACCGTACCGCCACTTATTTGGAGCATGATCTTTTTTTTAATCGTCTACTAAATATAAAATCATTGCCAGTGTTATCAGTTGCAAGTGTGCATTTGTCGTAATAATGACAAAAACATAATACATTTCACAGTAATTATAATAAAAAATAAAAACGATTTCCTTAAAAAATTATGATTCGTCATCACACTCGTGACCCCGAGTGCGAGCTGCCCGCCGATTTTGCGCTAGCTCTTTCCTCCAAGAACGCTAACAAAGAAGCTCTATAATGGCAGGCAAACATGTTTTACTTGACTTATATAATTCACAAGAAGAAAGAGGCTAGCAGCACCGAAGCTACAAGTGAAGCTGCTAGTACTACATCATCAGAAGAGCCGCTTAAAGACGTGGATAATTCTAGCACTAACGTTAACGTTAGCTGCGCTAGCAACGTTCCCCTAGCTAGCTCAAGCTCGCCTTTCCCGGAGGTATGGACGGAGGAGATGTGTCGGAGGAAACAAGAGGCATACCCGTGGATAGACTGCAAAGCTGGGAAACTGGGCTGCAAAGTTTGTTCATCCATTTCAGATTTATCAGTCTTCAAAACGCGAGGTGTGTGTGTGTGTATGTGTATGTGTATTAGGGATGCCAGAAACTGACCATGATCAAAATCG